TGCCTGGAGTGAAACCTGTTTTCACGGGGTAAAGGAATTAAGCTGAGCTACATCTTTCACATCACAAATGTAGGGGCAGAGCCACATAGTTTTGCATTGAGAAGTGACAGAAATCCTTGGCTAGGGCGAGAGGGAAAACATCGGGTTCCTTATCAGCAGCAGGTAAGGGGCTTTGGGGTGGGTGGTGCTTGTTCCTCTTTAAGCTTGCAATGATTTCCCAGCAGTGAAGCTTTGCTGGGTTTCGAGAGGTTACCTGGGGGGAGAAATAGGGCCCTTTTCATCTCTTAAAGGCATCCCTGAAGGCAGCAGTAGCAGAAATGATGATGAGAGCACAAGAAGGTAACTTTTCCTGCCAAACTTCCTTTCCCCTGGAGTTCCAGTTTTGGAACATGTAATTTCCAGCAGCTCAGCTTTTCAGGTGGGAATTCTCATTAATCTGGCAAGAAAAAGGCATCATTAGACTTTGTAAATGAGTCAAGAGATGAACCTCCCAGGTCATAAGAGATGCTGATGGTTCCGGGGAATGAGAGCCCTAAACCCAGGAAACGGTACTCCTAAAATGCAGCAGTTTCAGGGTGCTGCATGTGGGATTTTGTGTAGTGGAGCTAAAACCCCATCCTTATCACGCAAGAAGGAAAATGAAGACAAGCTCCTAAAGACTATGCTTTAATTATGAAGGGAATAACTGAAGGGATTGAAAGAGTTCTCATATGGAGCGAGTATATCTGCATTTGTAGGGAATCTGCACATACGGAGATAACAGCACAATTTTACATTTGAGAGGAGACAGCATCCTATAAATATTGAAATAGGATGATGCTGAGCAACATGTGCCTGGCAAGCCCTGGTTTCTTCTCCCATTCGGTTTGTGCTGCATCCTCCCCCTTTGCCAGCCTAGGGATGCGTTTTGGTCCCAGACTGGGAACCCCAAGCACTGGGTTCCTAATCGGAGACCATCTCCTGTGCATCGTTTCTTCTGAGCCAAAAGGGACTCAGTACAACAGTTTGATTTCATAAATTGGATGGCAGATGCTTAAAGGGGGAAGAAAATATATTGTGCTTAAATAACCTCTGGCACTCAATGCAGAGGGACCAATACATTAGAGAGGTGATAAAGTGTGCACCAGCCTGGGTGGAGAGGAACAGGAGGGTGTTACAGCCTCTCTGTCCTTTGTGAGAGAAGGAGAAGCTGCAGGAGGACAAGTGAACCCATGAATCATTTTGCCCATGGGGCTGCAGGCACGTGGATAGCAGGAGCCAGGGCTCCAGCTCACACCTCTGCCCAAAGCAGACTTAAAAGCACACCTGGATTTAAGCAAGAAGGCTCTGGTGTGGAGATGGGAGGATGGTTAAAACCCAGCTAAGAATCGAAGTTCTGTGCTCCATGAAGCCACCAGCTTACGAACTGCAGCTCCCCCAGCTCTCAGGCATATGATCTGGCTGTCACAACACAGCAAGTGGCACTATTAGCTTTAACAGAGATGATGTAAGGCACAGGGGCATCGAGATGGGTGTTAAATTGCTGCATAACCATGGCCACAGTAACAGAAGCTCAGCTGGTGAGCAATTTCCAGCTACCCAGGGATTTTTGCACAAGCAAAAGCACTGTCTGTTAGGCTGCAACCAATGGACTACTCACACAGGCTGGATTCTCTTTTGCTACCTGCAGTATTCTGCCTGCTACTGCTCTGCACAGGATTCCAGCACATCTGAAACACAGGAGAAAACTGGCACTATGTTGGCATATTTTGCTGTGGTGGAACACGGGCAAAATGTGTTTGGTTGTTTCTGCCTATCAGTGCTTGTGGCTGGCTCATGGCACGCTGATGGGAGCGCTTCCAAGAGCTTTTGTGTGCACAGATGTGATAAGATCCTAACTTCCCCAGGTATCCACAGCTGAGGTTGCTGCAAAAAAAAGGAGCAGAGAAAGAAGCCAAATCCCTGCTTGAGAAGTTGAGGAACTTCGAAAGGACACAGGTCAGATGGAGCCCTGCAGTAGCTGAGTGGGAAGGCAGCAGGTTGGGCTCAGAGCAGTGATGTGCTCCCAGCAACACCCCTTTGAACAGTGATTCAAGGGACCCCGGCTTTGCTCCTCCACAGGTCACAGTGGCTCCCAGCTCCGAGCACATCACAAGCTGCAGGGCAGCCAGAAGGCAAGATAAAGGAGATGTTCTGCATTTCTCTTCCTTGATAAAAGGATTCCTGTGTAGAAAGCCTTTTATTTATGGCTTAGTTATTATGAACCTGGCTTCTCTCCATTTACATGCTCTGGTTTCCACAGAGCACATGCTCCTCCCTATGCAACCTGGGAGGGAGTTTCCCTACTACAGCACAGAACGATAAGGCAGCCTTAAATCACAGCAGAGGAAGCAGCTTTATTTCCAATTCACCACTCGATTATTAAGAGCTGCTTTCCCAATTCATTTAACTTTTCATCTCATGGCTGATTTATGTAAAGTCTACAGTTTCAACCCTATTCCTGTCCTTTCTTGTGAGGCCAACTTGTTTTATGCCCTCTTAAATCTTCTTTCAGGTTGTTTGAAGCACTGTTGGTGTTCACAGTCAAGATGATTCTTCAAAGTATGTATCACCAATATATTCCCTAGTTATGTATTTACTCCATGAGGCATCTCCCTGTAAAGCTTCCTTTCACCTCTTGCATTTCAATTTTCTCCCCTGTTCATATACCCAGGCTACTCATGCTTTATTTCTTCCATTTCACTCTTCTATTCTCTCATAGCAGCAGTAACTCTCACCACAATGAAGACAACCAGGTCCTGTGTATCCACCAACCCGTATTAACTGTCCTTTCTGGTTGGCTTCATCACACAGTGCTCCTTATTCTGGAAGGGCATTCGAGTATCTCATGGCAATTACTCAGCTGAATATTGATTTCAGCATCATTCTGCATTTATGTGCTGCCCAATGGTTTCTGCTACCACACAGATTGAAAATCAACAGCTTTCAGTATTGTTTCTTTCATGGGAATAAGAAAACTGGGAAAAGGGGCTAATTCTTCAAAGGTTTCCAAACAAATTCTGTTTATGTTCTCCCTTCCTTTACTGGTAAACCCCTTTCCATCCATTCTTCTGAATGGGAATAGAGGGATGCATCAACGGGCAATTGTTCAATAGCTAAAGGGAAGTCTTGTGCTTCCATCACTGGGACTAACTCTAAGGAAGGCTGGTGGACAGAAGCACATACTGTCCACCTACATCAAGCAGCAGCTTTACCCTCATGGGATCTCCTTCAGTGTCTCACAGTCTTGTAACCAGCCTGCAGCAAGGACATAGGAGCATCCTGGACTAACACCTCTGAATAACACTGCTTGAATTAAGCTGCTCCAAACACACACAAGAGCTTTATTTTCCCCTTGTCTTAGGTCTGAAAAGGGGAACCAAACGCTTGCCAAACACCAGATCTCAATTGCCAAATATTAACCTACATCTGCACACCTCAACAGCTGAAAACAAGCCAACCCAAACTCTTCAACAGCCCACCAGGATTCCCTCTTACCTTTGCCTTGTACACCCCCTCCTTGCTGCCAGTCCTCTACTTCTTAGCACACCCCAAATCTCTCTTGATGCAGCCTGAGGTGTTAATGGCCCCAGCAAGCACATGCCCAGATGAAGAAGGTGCTCATCACCCTTCTTTACAGGTTGAAATGCCATTAAGCCTCTCCTTTTATAGACAAGGGACCTGGAGACACTCAGAACTACTAAGCATGGGCACCTGGTGAAGGCAGGAGTAGGCAGGACTATCCTGGATCTGGTTATACATGGGTAGGTTGGAGGAAATATGGGAGAGTTGGAGTTTGGTTTATTGGGAATACCAGGTCAAAAATGTGTCTTAACAACTGAGCATACTTCAAATTGACCCTGGAAATAGGATTTCACCCGCTTTTTTTTTTGAGGAAACAGAGACATATGGGTGTTCTGGAGCAATATCCCAAATTGTGTCTCCAAGTGTACCTGATTTGTTTCATCTGCTTCTCTTGATTGAGGGAAAAAAACCCAGAGAGGCCCCAAGGACTTAAGTGCTCAGGTTAAAGTGCCAATAAACCTGACAGTTTTAAAAGGGGATGCTGCCTTTACTTTGTCCTCTGTAATAATCTCTGGCAAAAAAAGATAGTCCAAAAGAAGGAGGAGGAAGCTGTGAAGAGGGGAAAGGCAACAAGGAGTGACCCTTGTCCTGAGAAGTGCTGGCTTCTGAGCTGCAGGATTGGCCAAGGGAAGAAGGGAACAGTCTGCTGTGGATAAAGGCTGGTAGGAGAGGGCCTTTTGCTTATCAGGGCAAAAAAGCAGGGGTGCAGTGTACAGTATCAAAGAAACACAAGGGAAAGACAAGAACAGTGCGTGGAGAAGTGCAGGATGCTCTGGTGGCAGCTGTCACTTTGGTGGGGGGGCACTGCAGTGGTCCCCAGCCCATATGCAGAGCCATGGCAGGAACAGGCACATTCTGATTTATGCAGATGCTTCTTGCCAATTAAGAGGCAGCAAATGTGCAGATTTTACACTTGGATGTCAAATGTATTCAAGGGGATTCTCTTTTCATTAGGCATATGATGCACGTCCCTGAACCCTCTGCTGGAATATTTCAATGGCCTTTTAAGAGAGTAGTTCTCCTTCAGCATCAAGTAAATGGCAATGAACTGACAGGAATAAAGGAAATATAAATCAGTCCTGCCACGATGATGGTGCTTTTCTGCAGGCATCAGCTTTATACAGCCCCTTTGTGTTGGGAATCCTTTTCCATCCTCAGACCCTTGGGGTGATGGGGAGGAACTGGGTGGCAAGGGATAGGAAGGGGGATTAAGGGTGAGGTGTGACGCAAGGGGAGGTCAGATCCAGAGACAACAGAGGGAACAGTGTGAGCAGGGAGTGGGAGAGACACCAGGGAGGGAGATTCTGATGAGGTCAGCCTGGGAATCCTCATGCTGTAATGAACAGGCAGCTGGTTTCTATAGAAACACTGAGATGGGATTTAACACATTAAATGGACACGTTTTCATGTCAGTGTTTAATAAAAAACCCAATAGAGATACAGTGAGGGAATCCTTATCACACGTGCAGCCCATGGTTTCCCTCCAGTGTGTCAGCAGCATGCTGGAAAACAAGAAATAATAGAAAATGATTTAAAGACCTTCAGCAATTACTCACAACAATGCCCATGGTTTCCCTGGCTCTGCAATGTAGGCATCCTTAAACAGTCAGCACCCAAACCGCTCTGTGACACTACGAACAACTACCCCTCCGTAATTTCTAACACCCCCATTCCTGTTGGTGGGGATGTTGAGCCCCCTGAGAGGTCAGCCAGGCCCACGTAAGCACTAAAACAACTTAAAAGCAACGAAGAAGGGGATTTGTTTCCTTTTCCTTTAAAACCCAAGCGAGACAGCAGCTGCTCTGATGTAACTTGTCCTATCATCTTCCCCAAAGAAGTGCAAATTAGAGCTGGGAAGGTAAGAAAGGCAATCTTCTTGCCTTAGCAATAGGAGGCTGCTTCAGCAAAAGGAGAACAGCTGCCCTCTTTAAAGGTGTCAGCAAAGCCCTGGAGCAAAGCAGAGCTCAGCACAGCTCCCAGGGACAGGCAGTGGGCAAGGGACACCCACTAGGGTGTCCCCTCAGGGTCCCAGTTAGTTCTGGGCTAGCATGGAAAAGTTGCAGCCCCGAACTGCTGATCGCAAGACAGGGAGAGGAGATGGGATCAGCCATCATCATCCTCAAACCCTTACACACTCCTATCCAGCCCCTCAAAACCTGTGTGTGTGTTTGCCTTGCTCCATCTTGGTGGATAAATCCTCCTGATACAGAGCATGTCTTTGCTTCTCGGACTGTATTTGCTTTTGGGTATTCACAAACCCATACCACGATACCCTGCATCCTCATTGAGAGGTGGAGGAGGGAACTTCTTCCTCTGGCAGACATATGTGACATAAAGACCTCAAAGTTTCTCAGGACATTGCTGTTTTCTGCCTCGATCCAGCAAAGCTCTTCCCATCCCACACCCTCCAAGATGCAGCACCAGCAAATGGGACTTTCTTGCTCTGGGTTCTTCCCCGAGCTCACATCCTTTGGGTGGCACCAAGGTCCCCTCTGCAGGCACAAGCACACACAAGGGGCTGCAAAGGACCAAGTAGTCTGAACTTCAAAATGAGATCTGCTTTCCAGCCATGGGCAAAGCCACTTAGAGGGAACAAAAGCAGGGCGAAGTGGCTCTTTTGCAAGAATCATTTGCTAAATTACAGTATCTCTGGAATTGTCCAGGAAATCAAATCATGTCAGAAAACATTGCCAGACAGCAAATCCCATTCATGGGGATGAAGGTTACGAAAGTCAATCCAAGTGAACAACTTTGTTAGAGGTCTTGTCTCGGCAATGGAGCAAAGGAGGGGACCACCCTGGGCACAGCAGGAGCTGCTTCTGTCCCTCATCCCTGGCACATCCTAGGGTGTGCATGGGACTCCAGCTCAGCTCCTGGGAAAAATGAGGCTCAGGTTTGCTATGAGTGTGCTGGGTTCACCACCCCCTTCCTCTGATGGCAGGTAAACATGGGAGTGGGATAGCTTTTTGCAGGAGGCATTCCTTTACAGTACAGGTGACCATAAGAGCAAAACAAATCATCTTTTCTTTTCACCATAAAAGTGTTTTACACCACTCAATTAAAGCCTCTGAGATAAACCTGTTTATCTGAGTAATAAAAAATACATAATGGCTTGTGAGGCAATATTATTTCAGCTGCTTGCTCACTGTATGAAGAAATTCAGAGCAGTCTTTTGCTTCCCTTTACACTGGAGAGAAAAACATGGACTCAAGCACCAAGGGGCTGTGATGGGAATAGGTCATTTATTTGGGCTGCCACAAAGGCTCTGGGCAACCAGGGAAAGCCAAGCCAGATTTCTGTTCCTAAAGACCATGGGTAAGGCATTGCAAGGCCACACTTCCATTTCTTCCTCAAAGTATACCTGAAACAAAGAAAAAGGGAGGTGCATAAACACTTGTGTAATTATGAATTAAGCTCTATCCTTTAAAACACTATATGCTTAAGTGGTCCCAAGTGGAACGATGTATCTTTCTCCTGGTGTTAAGAGCAGCAATAAATCTACAATTACCTCATTACTCAGCCCTTCTAAAAAATGCATTAAGCCCTTCTAGCAAATCTGAGTTTTATAAAACAATTACTTGATTCTGAGCTTAGAACGAATCCAAGCCAAAGGAGATGTCGCTGGATGCTTTTCAGCCCCCACGTTTCATTTTGAAACTGATCCTCTATTCCTGGTGTCACCAGAAAGATATTCCTTTAGTTAAAAAGAGTGAGGCATGTCTAGGGTGAGTATGAGGAAAAGGACTTACAGGGAACTGGAGGTTCACATGAGAAAGGCTTGCTTGTGTTCAAGGAACGTGTGTGTGTACGTATATAAGCATATATATGCACACACACATACAAAACCCCCTAAAACTACTTTTACACATATCTTTAAAAACTCCCTTCTGTTAGATGTAACAGTATTTTCCCTTCTTGTGCAAGAACAAAGGGATAAAGAGCCCCCCAGGAAACAAACATCCCGTTATGTCATGCAAAGGCCTCATTAATAAAGGATGAGCGAAAGGGAGGGCAGGAGATGCAGGAAACAAGAGCAGAGCTCGGAGCCTAATTACACCATTCTCCAAAATTCCTCAGGAGGCATTGGCTAAGGTGGTAAATATTTTATAAGGGGAGCTCCCTTTCTCTTCATGCTTCTCCTTAGGCCCTCTCCTGAACAAATTACTTGCTTTGTAGAGGGAAACACTGCTAATTTTAGCTTTATTGGGCTTTGCATGCAAAGCAAAGGATGTTCCCTGGATGACTGGCAAAAACATTTTGGTTCCTATCTGATAGCAATGGTCTGTGTGATAACCTGGCAAATGTGACATCTTGGATATGGGGGAATCCCTCATTGTGTGGTCAGGGACAGGGCTGGGGATGCGGCACGAGCCATCCTCAGCAGCTGGGGACAGCACAGTCCTCTCTGCTTGCGTCCTCCAGTTCCCATTGCTCAACCACTATCTCTACTGTGCACATAAATCATCCCATCCCATGCACAGCCTTGGAAAAGAAGAGACAGTGGAAGTAGCTGCTGAGGAATTACAACTGTTTAGATAGCACCAAAGAAATATAGAGGAAGAGGGAAAGAAGAGGAAGAGGAAGAAATATTCCAGCCTCCCAAATTAAAGTCACTTTGAAATCCTTCTGCTCTTTTCCTGAAAGCATCTGCAGCTCTAATAGAACAGACCTGGAGCCAGCCAGGTTGCAAAGGCAGTGCCTGTGCATGGGAACATGAGGTGTGGAGCACGGCTGCATAGGCAGGTACACCGAGAAGCTCAGACAGCTTTCCCTGACCTGTCCACTGCTAATGAAAGGAGTGGCTTAAAGCAGCCAGCACAAACTGGCTATAAATTGGTGTTCTGGAATGCTCCCTGATGCCTCAGCATCCAGCAGCAGCTTCAAGGCCAAGGCCAGGCCGAGGGAGCACGTGTGGGCTCCAGCACAAGGCTGGAAAAAGCTTCTCCGTAAGTAGCTGCCAACAGGCTCGGAAGGGGTTGGACTCAGGCTCCCCACTGAGCCCCAGCTGCATCTGAACCACAAGGCTGGAGGAGACCGTGCAGGTCTCAGTTCCCTCACTGGAAGCTCAGACAAGCTTCTCCATCTAAGCAAGGAGCTGAACCAAGGGACCATATGAACCCTGCCCAGCAGCAGGAGTCTCTCTGCTTTGTTCCTCATTCCTTTGAGATTGGTCCATTCCTTTGAGAGCATGGCTCTTTGATATCTAGCAAAGAGGGTATCTTTCTCTAATAGCAGAAAGGAGAAAAACTCAGGGGTACCAGCATCCCCCACCCTATCTTGATCTGTCTGCCTTGTCAACAGGCTGACACTTGCAGACCAACACTATTTTGGGCATGATCCTCTCTATATTTTGTTCTGAATCCCAAGAGATGTAGGATGCTACACACCAAGCAACTGCCTGAGGCACTGGGGCAAAACACCCACCAGACCAATGGGACTAGTTGCTGCTTGGTAAGGAAACCTGCTTCAACCCCATCTGCATGGCTGAGAGTGTATTTCAGTTCAACAGACTGGGATTCGCCTTCTTATTACCTCTATCCTGCTTCATCCATTGCTTTTTAGGCTTCTCAGATGTTTCACCTTCATTTGTTATCTCTTGGATTTCAGCACTCAAAGTCCCAGCCCTGGGATCGCATGGAGCTGGCGGCATTCCTGTCGCATCCAATTCTTGTCCCTTTGCCATGGCAGGTGCTTCCCCCTTTAACAACATGGCACAAAGGAAACAACACAAAATCAGCAACTGCAAGAAGTACACAACATTTCCAGAGCATTCAGAGTATATTTTTCCTTTCCTCTTTGAAAAATACTAAGGAAAGAAGGAATTGGGACAACAGTTTGATCCGTGTGTGCCTTCCCTTGCCTTTTGTGCAGGTATTTTTGCAGCAGATCCGTCCTGAAGCCTGGCTCATCCAAACGACTCCCTGAGATGTAACATTTCCCTTGACTCAGAAAATCCTCACTGATCTTTTAACAGGATTTCCCATGGGTTGGCTATAATGTGGATTAAATAGGAAAAACCCATCCAGCTTTTCCTTTTCAGCTACAAGCACTTGCTCAGTCCAGTGTCCTTTTGCAATAGGGAGGAGAATTGGGAGCTGTGAGGTTGCAAAGCAGAGAAATGGTTTGATCTGCAAATGCACACTGAATCCCTGTGAACTCCTGTAAGTTTACAGCTTTCTGTGCTAGACTGAAGAGCTGCCACTGGAGGAGGAGGAGGCATTGTACCCGACTGCAAACTGATATTCCACTGATGTTCCACCTGCCTTTCCACTGATGTATATATGCACACATTATGAAGAGGAAGCGTTTTCATGCTGATAGCATCTCCTCTTTACTGTATGAATAATAACTGAGTACTTGTAAGGGATGAATTTTCTCTTCCATCCTCATTCCCATTGGGTCTCCATCCGAGCTGCTGTCCACCACTGCCTGGACTCCTGTCTGATGTACACCCCTCCAATAACACCACATGGGCACACTTACAGCTTCAAGAGCTTTCAGCAAGTGCCCTCTCTGCTAAGCCCAGGGCTAGCATGATGGGTCAGAACTGCGCGGTGGGGTGGGATTTTGGGGCTGGAGCAGCCACAATGCCCTGGATGCAGCAGGACCTGACGGACCCTTGGAGCCCGCACACTGAAGAAAGGCACAGACACACAACAAGAAACCATCCTACTGCAATACATGCTCTGGGGAACCCCCATCAAGCCCTTTCTGTGATAAAAGACATGCTCAGGGCAGGGAGGAGGGCAGCACGTGCTTTTCCCCTCCTTGGAGCCCTTGCAAACCCCGAGCTGTGGGACGCAGCAGTGTCCTGATGCAGAGACAGCCCTACCAAAAGCATCAGAGACAGCAGGACACTGGGATCAGTCCTCGGCTGTGAGCCTGACACAGGATGCTATAAACCCCTCCTGCTTCTGCCCCAAAGCCCACTCCAGAAACCTTTATTTCACTGGCTCTACCCCAAAGCACAGCATAACCAACTGTTGCTTTTACCCCCTGTGTGCATCAATAGCTAAAAATCACCCACCAGCAACAGCCAAACAGCTCCCCAGAGCACTAATCCCTGTGCTACAATTACACTTCAGGCCAGACGAATTCATCACTACAGCCTGGTTATGCTCATTAATCTCCCCAAAAGCTTTCCTTGTCTCTGCCCCTTCTCCCCCCTTCCCTCTGAAAGGGAGACAGAGAGGAGGGCTGGGACGTCGCCAGTCATGTTCATTCCCTTCCCTCTTCGAGACAACTAATGAGATCTGCGTAGGCGAATGTCTCCTGCACTGTGCTGGATCTACTCTCACATGGATTGAGGCATGTGATGGGAGCACCGTGGGGAGGGAATGTGGATGTCCGTGTGCTGGATGCGCTCACACTGAGCCGGGGGCTGTGTGCACACAGCGGACGATGCAGCGCTGCACTCTCCTCCCTTAAAGGTTAAACCAATCCATTATCCTCTTTATTAGGCTGTTGCATGCTGGGGAGGGGGGGTGTCTCTTCCCCTTCTTGAAGCTGTCAGAGGAATGAACTCGATAGGATTCAAGCTTTAAACCCTCATTCCCCCCTCTCCCGGCTCTCTACCAACATGCTGCCAATTCTCTATCCTCCCCTTCCACAAAAGCACCCAGAAAGGGGCAGCAGTAAAAAGCTTTTTTGAACGCTTGAACACTGGTGACACCAGCTTCCAGGCTGGGAGCAAGTTACACACTCACAGGAATCTGCATCCAATACTGATGTAAGCTACACATTGCTTCTTGCTGCTTTGCTCCCCCATAAAAGCCTTTTCTCAGTGTTAATCTGTCCCTCTCCCCCTTGGCAGGCTGGAGAGATGAGCTCTGCAGCACATGAAATGAGCTGGGGAGGTCTCAGACCTTCCCATCACAGACATGCAGCAGGAACCAGAACCCACCGAGAACCTCAGGGAGGAGGTTTGGCATTCTAGCAACACTGACTTTATCAGATCAGGGACAGGAGGAGATGGACAGCTTTAACCCACTGGAAAAGAGGGATACCTGATCCCACAGAAAAGAACAGGCTGAACACCTGGCTGCTCATTTCTAGACATATTTAAATCAATCCCAGGCTTAGATTTCTGGAGACAAGTGGAGAGTTGCTTAGGGCTGATTGGTGGTTTTCTGTCACCATGATTTTGTTTTGATTTTCAAGCTCTCAGCCTCTGCAGAACATAAAATCTCCATAAGAATATTTTCCATCAGTTTTTCATCAGAAAAATCAAAGCACAATTTCCACAGGATCAGGTTAACACTGAAACAAAACCGGTGTTTTTTTTCCCTTTAGCCCAACACTCATTTGCTGCTTGGAAACCTCATGGACATCTTCATTTGCCAGTCTCCATGACTGTCACTTCATGCATTCCTCCCAGCCTCTGGTATTTACCTGGGTATGAATTTGTCTGGATCAGTACCTATTTCCCCAAACTCTCTATTAAAAGCAAGAGTTAAAATTTTATACTTAATGACTTAAGAAACAGGACACCCAGCAAAAAAAAACCATTTATACAACCCCCCAGTGAATGCTTCGTCTAAAAATAAGCTCATTTCCTGCAGTTAAACCTCATACCTGCTGCCGGAAACCTGCATCACGCTGCCAGCAAGATATCAATCTCAAAACACAAACAGCACCTTTGGCTTTTGAAAGCTATTTGGAGATCAGGGGGTGGATCCTAATAGGTTACATAAACCATTCTGGACGGACCACAAATGAAAACATACGTGGCAAAGCCAGTGCAAATCAGAATTTGCATGGGTGGATTATCCGTCTGTGGTCAAACAGCAGGAATCCATTTACTTCCATGGAGCCCTGTTGATTCATAGTAGCTGATCCATGTTTTCCCTTAAGAAGCCTTTAATTTCAGTCAGTGTGTGAAAACAGCAGGTAGTTTTTAAGTCAAACATGTGGGGTTAAGGGCTCTACCCACCACCAAAAGCTTAGTGGAGGTGAGGCATTAGGTGGTGCTCCTCTTGGAGAGGGGTGCATTTCTCCTACAGAGATTGTCCTTTTCCATGTGCCTCTGGTGGGCTTCTCACAGGAACAAAATCACCTTCTAACAAAATTAGCTATAGCCTAGCTGGAAAATGTGAACGTGCCGTTTCTTTAGGAGGCACCGTACCAAGTTCCTTTACTCAGATCCCAGCACATACCCAAGTACAGCTGCTCTCTTCCCTCCCTTCAGTTCACTCTGTAATTATATCACATAAAAGCACTCAAGTTCACTTGCCAAGATTTGTTCACTTTATCCTCCAGGGTCTAATCTCAAACCCTATGTGAGTGTATTTAAGGCATCATGGTTTGACTGCTGGGGTATCGGGCTCTGCACAGCTCCTTGAGGGAGACAGGCAGTGCTGCTGTCCTTGGGCAGCTGGTGGGAAGGAGTCAAGAAAGATGTGCTCCAACCCCCTTCTCCTTCATAGATTTCCTCCACATACAAGGTGGCCACCAAAGCCACCTTGTACCCACTTTCACCTGCCTGGTGCCCATACAGTTCCTTAGAGGCACCGGGTGTCTTCAGGAGAGCACAGAGAGGTGCATCTGCAGCTCCTCCTGGCCTTTACCGCTGGCATGGCAAGGACAGAGTCTGCCACCACCACTTTCCATCTAGTTTTCATTCTGTTCAGGTCAAGGAGTTACTAATCACCAAGAAGTCCTGTTGATCCTTTTAGGACACCACTTCTGCTTTTGGTTTTCATCACTGCCCTGCCACTTTTCCAGGACTTCAGAAGGAGGTCGCCTCTCTCCCCTTTCCTCTTGGCAATGTCCAGTCTGATGCAGGTTTACTTTTCATCTCACCACCATCGTGGCTGCATCCAGCCATCAGTTTGGAAACCACTGACATTTGTGAGCCAGTTAAATCAATAGCTCAGGGTATGCAGGTCCACGGTGCTTTATTTACCCTTCTGTAGATCTTGCCAGGTCTTTCCCTCTTCCTTGCAAGAATTATCTTAGAGTTCTTCTCACTTACACACTGCTTCTGATGCCTTGATAACTTCCTCCCATCCCTCACACAGCTGAAGGTGGAAAGCTCTGTATTACTGAAACACAATGAGCAAAATATTCCCACTGTTGGACATAACAGCTTTGGATCACCGATTCTGCACAAACACAGCTCACAGATTCCTGGTCATAAATGTCCCAAGCTCCATTAGAAAACTAGATTGGTTTCCTTAATTCCATGTTAAGGCCATCTCAAGGTCTTGCTCTTTGCATGGTTATAAACATTTGTTTAATTCCTAGCCTAAATAACCAGGCCAGCTTTCTCCCACAACCTTGCTTTTTACAAAGGTCTTCTCCCTTCTTAGCACTTACTCCCAATGTCTTCTGTTACAAGCTATTGTGCCTCCTCAGAGCTCATTTCGGTGGGAAAGGTGTCTCTTTATCAAATCCCAGTGGACAGAAAGATCTGGCCCTGGCTGACCTTCCACTGCTCAGGCTGAAATTCCCCTTGAGAGCCATACCCCAGGACTGCACACAACCTCGGGTGAAGATCCTCCCACTCCCTCCTACAATGAAGCTACAGCAGAGATGAAACACTCGAGGAACACTTTTGCCTTGCTTTCATCTCAGCTGTCCTTTGCTTTGATATTGAATGGTGGTTTCTATCATCCTTTTCTGAGGAAGATGCAGCGTGCATTTAAACAGGATGTGGTGTGTGTGTCTGCGCACATAGCACCAAGATAGACAAATAAATGATGAAAGGAAAATAAAGAGGCCAGAGCAGTGTGTTCGAAGGATTCCCTTTGAGGCAGCTTCACCTCAGGACCTGGCAGTCAGTTCACTTTCTTCCTCAGTAGGGTTAATTACATGGCAAGTGGAATTCAAGGAGTGTGATGGCAAAGCTTTTAAGCTTTAGCATGATTTGTCCAGGTCAATACATCCCAGCTGAAAATCAGCATGTTATACAGCACATCCAATGCCTTCCAGCAAAACGCATGAGACAGCAATGGGCATGCTCTCCATGAGGAGTCTCACATCTTGGGCTCTCCCCAGGAGCATCACTCCATGCTGCAGCCCAGCAGAAGTATCCGGTCTGGTGCTCAGTCTCATTCGTTTTATCTAGCCAACATGAGTACTGTGACTGGAGCCAAGTTGTAGATGGAGTTTTCTCCTCTTTGACTACACTGTGTCATAGAATCACACAATACCAGATTGAAGGGATCTCAAGGATCATCTGGTCCAACCTTTCTAGGCAAAGCATGACACAGCACTCTGTCCAGCCAAATCTTAACAGTGTCCAGTGTTGGGGAATTCACCACTTCCCTGGGGAGATTATTCCAGTGGCTGATTGTTCTCACTGGGAAAAATTTTCCTCTTGTGTCCAGTTGGAATGTCCCCAGAACTAACTTGTGCCCATCACACTTCATGCGACTCCTTGTAAAAGTGGTCTCCATCTTCTTTGTAGCCACCCTTTAAATACTGGAACATGGTGATAAGGTCTCCCCTGAGCCTTTTCTTCCCCAGGCTGAACAAGCCCAGCCCTCTCAGGCTTCCCTCAACCAGCTTCCCAGTCCTTGATCATCTCTGTGGCCCTTCTCTGGCCTTTTCCAGTGCTGTTTCCCCAGCAGTCCAAATGCACTGGGCCGTAGCTCCTCTGGCCTGTCCCATGGGAATTTCCTGGGTGACGTACACAGGACAAGTGGTAGCTACAAAAGCACAAGGAGCTCACAGGTCATTGCTCAGGCAGCTGCTTCCCAGCCCCTTGCTAAGGATGACACTAGCTGTTACCCACAGTTTACTTTCACACGGAACTGGCCGTTTGTGAACCTCTCTTTGCCATGGCAGACTCTGATTTTTACTGCTATGTGAAGCATTAATTAACAGCAATTTTGCCTTCATTCGAGCTCAAAGAGAGCAGCTAGTAAAGCTTTCACACATTCAGATGCTGCTTTTGCAGCCTGGAAAGGTGCTTGCCTGCTCCCCTTTCTGAGCTGCAGCCTACTTGTGCTGACCTCGCTAACACCGGGGACTTTGGCAGTGCCTTTTCTCACGTTCCCCAACTGGAAGGGCTGTTGGTCTGTTTTCACATCTTACAGTATGTTTCTGTGCTCTTTTTATTTTTTTTCAGTTGGTTTCCCAAGGAAACAAGGCTTACGTGATTATCCTGTGTTTGTATGTGGGAGAGAAAAGAGAATTGGGCTCTCTTTAATAACTTTTAAACCTGTTGGGCAGTTGCACCCAAATTAGGCAGCAAGGTTAGAGATAGCATCTTCTGTTGATAGTATCTTCATGCAAACAGGCTGCACTGAAAGTAAAATCATGGCATTTGATGTCCCTGCTGAGAAAGACCCTCAACCAGTGACAGCCCAACCCCACTGTAGGCATCAGAGGACCCGCATAAAAAGACCCAGCTGCACAAGCATGACCAGTTACCTGTCTACATCGTGTAAATGAAAACAAAGTATGAAGTCTTTATACAGTGACCATATGCCTCAAATATACAGAGGGACAGGGACAGCGAGAGAGCAAGGCAAGGGGTGAGTGATGCAGTGTGCCAGCAGGGTCTGCCTCTTAAACTATCAACTGAAACCCCAGGTATGGAAACCCAAACTGAATCCCTGGAAGTTTCAGGCCTTTGACAAATACCAAAACTGCTTCAGACCCCACACTTAAAAAATTAGAGCATTCCTGAAGAATTCCTCTTTGTTATCCTCCCAGCACCACCTGAGTGGCTGTAGGAAGCATCCTCAGACAGCAATCTCACACTGCAATTGGATCTTTAACCAGCTTTCCAAGTATCTTTCGATCTTCCCTGTCTACCACGTGCTCCTTTTCACGTGGGCCCCAGCTTTGCTGCTTCTGGGGAAGCTGCTGGGACGTGAGGGCAGCAGACAGTGTGGTTTGGTTGCATGTGTGAGAGGAAACCAAGAAAGAGATCCACAGCGAGAGGCAAAAAGGGTTTTTTTCAGCTCCTCTTCAGCAGACAGCACACAGCACAAGGAGATTTCTTTCCTTGCTGATTTATTCTTGGGCTTTCAGGCTGTTTTACTTAGGTTAGATTCCAATATACACTGAGCTTGGATTAAACTCATTTCCTTTCCCTCTGTTTATGAGATGGCAAAGGATCAGCGTGCTACCGGCCGGTGCAGCGAGCAGCAGCTCTGCCGAGCACTTTGCTTGCCCGACACACCCCATTGAGTCCAACAAATTCTCTCCAAGGCTGTGCTAATGCTTTCTGCCTAAGAGGGGATTAGGATGGTCTGCCTTAGACTTCCCCACTCCTGCCCTGCTCTCTCCTTCCTGGGCCCTGACCTTTGCAATAAGGAATAAATCACTGCAAGGTTTATCCCCGCTGCATGTTTTGCAGCAGTGGTGGCTTCTCCTATTTAGTCATTATGGCCAAAAGGTTTATTTCCAATTATCCTCCTATAGCTCCTGTGCAAACCCAGCCTTTGGGTTTGTTGTGGCTTGACACAAGCTCTCTGAATGTCAGCTGCTAAACACACGAAGCTCTGAAACAGCCCTGGTGTTCATCCTTCAATGCAGGCAGGGAGAGCTGAAGATGCAGGCACAGGCAGAGTTCAGGCTCATGGATCTCAGTGTTGTCTGCCTGGTTCTCTGCCACTGATGTTCCCGCTCTCTCCCCCTGTTCCATGTTCCCACTTGGTAAAACTGGGATTCTGCTTGTGAAGTTTAACTTTTTTATTGTGTTAAGAGGGAGTACGAATCCCAAGTCTCTGCCTGTTGATCCTTTTGGCTCAGCAGTCAAGCTAGCAGCAGAGGCAGGGCTGGGAGTCCCACTGTGCATGCAGTCCCCATCCTCTGTCACATCATAGGATCTCTCAACTATGATTTCCATGCTTCTTCCCAGAATCAAAGAGCACAACAAGACCTTGCTAGGTATTTTCTGCATTTAAATCTTCCAATTACAATTCACTACTCTGCCGGCTGCTAAAGCTCAAGGCCGAGCAGCATTGCTGGTGTTATGATATATTGTAAATTTTTCCATCTCTGGTTAATCCATCAGCAGAGCGGTGAAAAGTAGCTGCTTGCCTCGGTTCAAAGAAGATTTGTGACTTCATTCCTGCCTTTCTTAGATCCAGGTATCAACCCCCTTTTCTCCCATAGTGACAAAGAGATGAACATCATGTAACCTCAGCGCAGTTAGTCTCAACCTCTGTTCAGCTTGGGAGACGGCTGCTTTGATTTTAGACTAAAGAAATCTGTGTGTCCAACAGCTTCTCCCACTTCCCCCCCTGCAAGTATGTGCGTGGTCTAATAAATGATGCTGCCTCTCCCTACAAACCTTGCTGTGTTTTATCCTCATACCTCAAACAATCCTGTTTCTGCTGTGCTGATGGTGCTCATTTTTTTTAGCTTGGATGGCAGGAGTTTGCATGGTTTGAATTTACCTGCCAGGTGCTTGTAGTGATGGATAGGTTTCCACAGAGGTAAAGGCTGAGCTAAGAGGAGGGAGAGGAAAGCCCTGTGCAGCCTTCCAAAGTGCACACATAAGGCTGAGCTGTCACTGCCATTAATCAGAAAGCTGTCAGCACTGAGAGCAACTGCTCCAGAGACCTACTTCCATTACAGAGGGGAGTAACAGCCCTGGGGAAGAGCCACAGATAGCAAAGGCCTCTGCAAGGGACTCTGTAATTACAAACAGCAGCTCCCTGGTTCTGGTGGAAGTGAAGGGCTTCTTTTTGTAGTGAGCAGAGATTATCAGAAAAGGAAAGTTGCACTGGATGGAGCTGATAAGGTCCCTGCACATGCACGGAGATTTAATCCTCAGTTGCCACTCATCCTATACTGTCCTAAGTGCCGAATTCCTACAGGGAAAACATGGAAAACTGGAACCCTAGTGCCCATCTATCTTGAAGTAATGGTAACAACTTCATGTAACCTGTACTCACAGATTGCTCAAGCCTCCCTGGGCTGCAGCAGGCGATGGTATAAGACAGCACTGCACAGGCACTTTATTATGTTGGTAACACATCAGGGTAATTCTCCTTCAAGCTATACTAACCTACCAGTCTGGCAGCAATAAAGTATTTATGCTTGCAAAATGCATAATTTACCCATATGGAGCATTTACAAACCACACTGATTTCCCATGAGTATATGCATATGTTCATCTAGGTCCCCATGCCCATATATTTAGCTGCATTAAAAAAGACAGCCTTTGATTGCATCTGATTTGTTGAGTGATGGAGCTCACTTGTGCCTATGGCCTCGTTGTCGTGGTTATTTACCACTCTCCCAATCTGAGTCATCTGCATTCATTAGTAATGATTACAGATTTCCCAACAGGTCATTGGAACAAGTATTGACAAGGCCCTGGGATGAGAAGCCATCCCTAAAGGGAGCACCCTTGCCTACTGCTGCCTCTCCATCAGTGATTATATCCAGAGATTTATCTGCATATGCTAACAAGGAGCTGCAGGTGTTTTGCCAAGGATTTCAGGGGAAGTAAAACTCAGACTCATGTGAGTTGTCACAATTTATTCCATAAATTGGATTGTGCTGAGTTTTTGCTCAACTGCCAAGGTATTTCACTGAAGGTAAGGCAGAAGTAAACAGATCTCATCTGATTTCATGGGAAATGTATTTCTCTTAGTGGGTTTTTGCACTGGAAGAAATGCTCATGTACAGGGAACGTAGTTGAAGCAATCAGGACACTCCCAGCACCTTTGTCATTGCCTGGAACATCTATAACCTGGTGAGCAGAAATGACTTTCCAGGTACCATGGAAAATGTATCAAAATACATTTTATATTGTCCAGAGAAATAATTAAGAATCAATCTGGCCTTGCATATGCTTTTTCTTAGTAAGTCATTGAGCCATTAACCTTGAGAAGGTCAATACATTGTCCTTATTGAATTCAACTAAAGCAACATTTAAAGTAACATTTAGAAGCAAGATCTGTTCACAGTTTCTTAATTAACTATTGGTTCCTAAACTATGACACCCAAATACCCCTTTTTGCTTCCCTATCCACCTGCCCAGCATCACCATCCTCCTCTCCCCTTCTTATAGACTGTTGGGAATTTGGGAATGAGGTAATATAAGTGAAGAAGTAGACAGACCCCCATCTAGAGAAAGCCTGAGTGATGCAGGTAATTTGGGGGTTTCTTTGAGGAGAGCTCAATGGGAAACAAGGCAAATGTAAAGGATGTCCCACTTCTCCAAGGATCAAGAACAAATGCCTTCCTCTCCTGTACCACGGACATGAGTTCCAGGATTTCTGGACCATATCTACTTCCAAATCACCCTTTCCTGCATGTAGTCAGCTCACCTCCCAGTATCCTCCTGTAGTTGGTGGGATGGCAGGCACTGAGCAATCCTCGGATGGCCCAGCTTAATTTTGTTACTGCCTGTTCTCAGGACCAATGCCTGTTTGCCTTCTGTTCCCTGAAAAGCAGAATCAAGAGTGGCTTTTCACTGCACTTCCCAGACTCAAATGTCATCTCAGAGGCATCCCAACCTCCCTCCTCTCCGTGGACACAGAGGAGCCAGTGGCTCACATGGGTTAGGCTGGTGTTCTGGAGATGTGACAGCAGCATGGTCCAAACTGCTGCAAAACTGGGTTGTTTTGTACATATAGGCAAAGAAAGTCTCATGGGCTGAGCCTGCAGTTGTGATACTCTTACAAAGTACAGCCATGGGGCAGGAGGGAGAACTGCTGATGGGTGCTTATGCCATGTCCTCTCACCCACAGAAGCTTTTGCCTCCACATCCACGAGGGATTTCTCCCATTTCAGACGGGAATGGCTGAGCCTGCAAACTGAGCAGCTCTCAATGCCAGAGGGGAAGAAACAGCTTTAGTGACCTGAGGTGCTTTCCAAACTACATCCCCTGGAAAAATATCCCCTTCCAGTCAAGACAAGTACCAAAACTAGATATTTGTCATGTCCTGAGAATGAAAAGAAATGTTAAATAAATAATTTGGGGCTCTAAAACCGCTGTGTGTAAGTGATATGAAAAATAGGGTTCATTTTGATTTAGATGTTTTTGTCATTTCTTCTTTCAAGCTCCAATGGACTCTTTCCTTTGTCCTACATATTTTCAACTTATTTTGAACTCTAAATCAAAACATCTTTTGTTTAAAAAACACAGACATGCTTGTTTCAACAGTTTCAAAGCTTCCCCCAGAAGGAAATGGTTTTGAACTGAGAAATTTGTCAAATCAGCTCCTATCAACAATTTTGGCTTTAATAAATTTAAGCCAAATAAATTTAAGAAACCGCAACAACTAACATTTCACAAAGGAAAAACAATGTGGCCAGTGACCAGTTCTTCATCTGGGGAACATGAATTACAAGGGGCACACCTTGTGTTTGAGTGACCTGGCCATGGGTTTTGCAAAACACAGTGAAAAGACTAGGAAGATGAATGCAGGGATCTGGATGAAGATTCTCTCTTGGTCAAGTTACGTATGCCTCAGTCTCCCCATCTGGGCAATGAGAGCAGGAACACTTAGGAGAGCTGGGTCCAGCTGTGGTGAGGATGTGAAAGAAGACAGAGGAGTTGGGAAGCTCCACAGTGAGGACACAGTGCTGGATGAACTCTGCAGAGGATGTAATTCACAGGACAGATCCAGACATCCATCAGCTGGCTGCTGGTTTGGCAGCTATGGCCAGAGGTGGAGAGGGTCTGGAATGGTTTCTTTTTCTCCTGAACTCCTGTTCTCTCTTTTTTATTCCAAACAGAAAGAAATCAGTTTGAAAGCCCTGAATTGTTGAGCAACAATAAGTGTTGGTCTGCATCTAGTCCCACTTTTTGCCCCATTTATATTTTGTCCATTTTGTGGAAAGCAAATACATATTCTAAGGCTGTGCCTTCTAACGCCTGGCTTGCCTCATGGTGCATAGAGCAGCACAGGGGATAGCTCTGGGTCAGGGAAGGGCAACCCCTGCTCAATCTTGCCCTTCAGCCTTCACCAAGGACTGAAGGAAAGCATCTTTTACAACACTCTGCCCTGGGCTTTGCATTGTAAATACTCTGTGGAAGTGATTCCATCCCTGACAAAGAAATGAAAAAATTCTTTAGGAAAACCAAACACGTGTTTGCTGTCACAGAGGAAAACTGCAACCTAAGACAAGATGTCATTGCTTTGTTATCAGGGCACATAGGTAAAGTGAACAGCAGCTGATACAGGGTTTGTCCTTGAAAGACCCCTCAGGAAAAACTGGGGAGAGGAAGGGACTGATCTGCTCTGCTTGTCCCCTGGGCATAGGTCAAGAAATAATGAATCCTGTGCATGGAAAAATTAGGCAGAAATTAGGACTGACTCCTGTCAAGGGGGCCGATGAGGTGTGACAGGATCTGCCTGGAGCACTGTGGGATCTGTCTCTGAGGCTCTTTGTATCAGGCTGCTCCCATCCGTAGGGATGGTGCTTCCTGCCCCAGGACTGTTCAGTTCATCTAAGGACTTCAGGAGGGAGCACAAGGCACTTTCAGCCAGTATCAGGCAGTGGGTGATTAAGGGCAGGGAGAACTCCTGGATGGTAAGATATGCACTGCAGACATTCCAATGCTTTGTCATTGTGCTGCTTTAACCCTTCCACAGCCTATTCCTCATCCACAACCCCCTAATGCCTGCAGTGCCTCTCTCTTGCATCTTTTCTGTGTCTTCCACAACTGGTTGTCCTGGGGAAAATCCAGCAGCCAACAGAGATCAAGAAATTCACATTTTATTGCTTCCTATTGAAAAAAAGAGTTTCTTAAGGAAGGAAAAAAATCAAATTACAACATGACTAACTTCAGAAAAAACATTGTCATGGAAACAGTCAATGCCAGACAGGACCTAAAACCTAGTGTGGGGATGGAGGTGGGACCCACTGTATAACTGGTTCATATTTCGCAGAGGAGAGAAATGGGAGGCATAAAAAAAGCAGGAACTTATAAGGTAGAGGCTCCTCATTACCAGAGGGGATCCGGTTTATAAGGAACCAGAGAGCAGTTACCACTGACGGTGAGAAATAATTACTGTAAAACTACAAAATAATGCTAAGATGAAGAGGAAAACATGATGCAGCCTTGACACAAGTCTAAATATATGTTGCCTTTCATAGAAATACACGGGTGACCTCTGCAACTGCAAATGGAGTGACAAACAGCAAACAGCTCAAGAACAGAGGAAACGTAACACTGAGGTGTCATTAAACCTGAAGTAAATAGTTGATGAAGCAACTCAAGCAACTGCTTTCGCATCAAGAATGCCACAGCCCTGACCTTGGCAAGAAATCAAGTGGACCTACTCAGAATAATCTCCCTGCTTCATATCCAGCATAATTTGGAAGTTATGAAGTAGTCATGTCCTCTGGTGCCCTTGCTGAGCTTCCATTTATTAAGCAGAGTATTCAGTATCAGTCTTTTCTTTCCATGCCACAGCTTCTTGTTAAAATTCAGAGGTGGACTGGGAGAAAAAGGCTGTGTGTAAAAACCTGGCTGAAAGATCATGACCTCCAGAATAAACATCCATCAATTGAGGAGTCCTACAGACTGTGCTCAGAGATGGAAAAGTGCTGTGATAAGGCTGTAAGAGTGCTACAAAACAAGAAGTGGCACATGTAAGAATTCAGTTATTAAGAGAAACACTTTCCAAATGCCTCCCTGGAAGGAATGACTTATAAGGTCTTTGGCAGATGTAAGAAATAGAGAAGGAATTGGGCAGAGAAGGAGCTGGGTGTGACCCAGATGAGCAGCCACAGGACACAAACCTTGGTGTTAGGATGGAAGCCTGCCCCAGGCAAAGTGTGGCTGTGCAGACCCCTCTGCTGATGCAAGGACCACAGCATCCTACTCTTGACTCCATGCTAGACCCAGTCTTAGAGCTGCCTCTGCATTCGATTCTTGACCTTGGATGATTTCCAGACTGCATAGAAGACATACATTCACGTATCAGGCAACTGAGGTCTCCCAAAGTGACTGCAAAGCTTGTTTCATTAGCACATTATCAATGGCTTTCTACTTTTCCACTGCTCCACTAATGAACAGGGCTATCAGTATTTCAATAATGTGAATTAACAGCATCAGAAATTAAATGATTCAATCCACAAGTGGTTTTGCAGGTTCATGGTATTCTTGCTCATTTAAGTAAAGCCATTCCTCCTGAACATATCTGGGCAATGGCATCCCTACTTTAGCAGAATAATTACTGTAATTGTCCCAAATTGTTAACTCAGTGGGTGACAAAGTGAAGCACAGCTCAGTCAAAAATGAGATACATGAACCAAGCAGCCCTGGAAAACAATAGAGTCCTCTGAATAAATGTCATGGAAAGCTTTACATTTCATCCTGCTCTTAGTAGCTTAGCATGGCTTTAACTTAACAGCTTGGCATACAGTTAGTAAGCCACCTGCCTGAAGATGACTGGGCACAGTCAGTCATCCTGTCTGCAAGGCTGAGATTTGAGCTGGAGCTACCTTTCCTTATGTGCTTCCCCTGTATCTACATCTGTGCTTGTTTAAGTACAGGAGCTGCTACAAATGTCACTCAGGCTTTGCCTTGATCGCTGTACTCATCAGTAATGTCTTGCTAAGACTGATAACCTTCCTTCCCCTGCTCTGTGTGTGCCTGCACTCTACAATACCAGACACCAGAGCAGCCGTCACTACCTGGATTTCTCATTTGGTCAAACCATCACTTGCACTTTCCCATTTGGTAAAGTCATTCTGCAAAATTAAATGGGATGGAATCTGGAAAGAAAATCTCCGTATCTAAAAGCCTTTTCTTTAGGGAAGGTCAACTCTGAGTCTAAGCAGACGGAGCCCTTTTCCAGCTAACACTTCTGGGTAGCAAACAGATAAGGGTAACAGCTCTTAACTGATTTTACACCTCCTGGTGCATGTACCTAAGGATTTCCTGCAAACTCCTTCCTCAGGCAGTGCCTGCGGAAGGCTGAAATTTGTCAAGGTGATGTGCCAATATTAAATGTTATTTTATTTCCCACCTGAAGTCAGACATTTCCATTCTGATGGAATTTTTCTCGTTTTCTGATTGCTTTTTTAGATATTGCCTCTCCCCATTTCAGTTTTCTTCTCTCTTCACTGTCTCCAGAGGACAAGGGGGATGGTGACTAAACCCAAATGAATACATTCTTTTTTAACTTACAATCTACTAAAGGAAGGAATATCTTTGTAATTCAGATCCCCCCAACCTCTTTTACCTGTAAATTGTTACGAGCTTTGGTAACTTCACTGTGACGGGGATCTGCAGAACACATTTGACATTTGATGCAATCACACACAGATGACTGAGGATTCCCTATTTTTTTCCTTTATGATGGCTCTGAAGCTGCTGCCCTTTAGTTGTGATCATCTGAGACACAAACCTGAATTCCCAGTGAGTCTGGAAAACCTCCTGCAGAGTGTTAGAGGTGGTGGCTGGTTGGAAAAGGGCTAGGGGAAAGAGCTAGCTCTAAGGCAGGGGAAATTCCTCGTCATTTTGTCTTCTCTCCCTGGAGTTGGGCTGGAAATAAAGCAGTGCTCTTCCTCCAAAAGCAATGTGCTTTTAAGAAGCCAGCCTCATCTGAGCTAATCCAGCACCCACACACATGACAGGAAAGGCCAAATTTTCATTACCAGGGTAAGACTGTTATATCCCAGCCAGGCACTAATGACACCAGGTTTAGGGTTTAGGGCTTGTTTCAGGCGTCACCATGCTTCCCCTAAGATTCCTACAGACACTCTCTCCGATAATTGCACGGACTATGTTTTACAGTAATGATGAAATATTGCTTTTGAGAGTGGTGCTTTCAAAAATAACAGCAATTGTGTTCAAAAGAGCAATTCTGAGGCTGGCTGTGCAGGTAAATTACCCGAAATACCTGTAAAGACAGTCAGATAAAATGACTGGAACAACACCAGGGCTAGTATGATGCTCTGGGGGCAGCTAAAACACTTCTTCCCATAAATCCTTTAAGTCCAAGTGAATAACTTCCTCAGGGAGCTGACAGCCCTCCCCACAAAGCCCTTTCCTTTAAATTTCTTAATGTGCAAAAGTGAATACTTGATTTCCTCTGACAACAGCAAGACAGATGTTTTGCTAAAGGATGGGAATGAGTCAGGTTCTTCTCTGCCTTCTTTGCAATCTGTCCTTGGCTACTTATTACAGCAGTACCAAACCCTGCAAGCACACACTCAGAGGTCAGCCAGAGGCTGGGGATACAACACCACTGACTAAATGCTATCTGGGCAACTCCACTCAGTTAGACCCAGGCACATTAGTTTATAAAAAGGAGTCAACACAGCTTATCCAAAAGAGAAGGATGAACTCTATTTAAACAGCTGAAAGCTTGTCTGATTTCTATTGCCTGATGCTTCATTTTTACTGGCTCTAAGCCTTCAGAGAAGCCCAGCCACCAGAAAATGAAATAATGCTTCATTCAGGAAAGTCATTCAGACTGGAACATTTGCTTCCAGTCCTGCAAAACTGCTACTGCATGACCGAGGAGTATGGACAGCCTGTTTTTCAAGAGAAGAAATAAAACACTGCAAATGTCAAAAGGGAAAGGCTAGGCACAGTATAACTGTTCCCTGTACCATGACTGGGTGCATGGTGAACCTTCTGTAGGAAGAGTCAAAGGAGTTAAATGACTTTAGACTTAGTTTGGGAATTAGAAAGTTTTTACCCATTAGAGGAGTGGATTTTTGGAGAGTCTCTTCACAGCAGTAATGAGGGCAGGCTGTCAGATGCCTTTATGGACAGGTTTATGTGACATGCCTGCTTGCATTAGCTGGGCTTGGTCACCACAACCCAGGAGGACTCCTTTGGTCTCATTGCTTACATGCCTTGCACTGGTGGGAGGGAGCCCAAGGAGACTGTCTACTCACAGTCCTCAGTCATGATCTGCTTGGGGAGTAGAGTCTCATTCCTGCATCTTTCATATTCACTTCTGAGAGCAGAAAATACGGTAAATCTTAAATATTATTACAATAAGGATAGGGAAACAAAGGCAGGGAGGCAGGAAACCTTGTCAGATACATTTATTCCCTGTGCACTCTGCCTCTTGCTCTCTGGTTTTGAGCCTACATGAACAGACACTCAAGACAGGGAGAGGAAATGGAGTCACTGCTGTGCTCATGCTCAACTCCTTTATTTCTGACTTCATTTCTATACAGGAGCAGGAGGAATTTGTGCTCTCTGCACTTTTCTGGGCTCTAAATACACCATACACTTCATTCAAGCTGCAACAACCCTCAAATACTGGCGTGCCCCCATATCAGTGCTAGTTATTCTGGGAGAGAGTCCATTTTGCTTTGGACTTTGCTTTTGTTTCTCTTGGAGCTGCATGACATTGCACAGCTTTTCTAAGGATAAGATCACAGACTATGCACTGTGAAGATTAAGGGGACTTGTTCATGGGGATACTGTGGTTTTGTTAATGGACAAAAAAGGAGATTTTTGTGAGCTCAACTTACATGCAAAATGAATGTACATTACTGTGTTCTAATTGCAAATAGCTTGGCTGGGGCTTTAAAAGCCTTTCGTTCCAAGTCCAGTGTTTGTCAAATGTCTTTTAATACTAACCATGGTTATAAAGTGCACATTATTATTGTTAATACTTCCAGGAGCCTTTTCAGCAATCACCCTGCTCCTGCCCAATCCAGCGCAAACATTCTCCCTACCATGGAGGACTGGAAACAACATGAATTAAAAGGGATTCAGATAAGAGGAAAATAACTAGCTTCATAAAGACTGTGAAGCTTGAAAGAACTCTCAAAAGGCTGAAGACCGAGAACTGCCTAATCTGAATGCAGACTCCCCCTTCACCCTCCATCCCGCAGTGCTGAGCTTGCAGAACTTTACCCTTACACTTCTTTTTTCCCTATTTATTGTGCTTTGTTATGCATTTTAGGTTTAGTTTTCATAGGAGAAATGAATTTGCTTCATTTCACTCACTGCATTTCATGCACCAGAACTGTAGGGGAGGGTTTGGCTTTTCAGTGCTGCCAGGGAAGATCTGTCTTGTCTTATTCTACCCAATGGTGGGCAGAAGACCCTGGATGAACATCTTGCAGCCACCCCACTGCCAGCACATTTGTGAAGTGCAGGGCTGCTGTCAGCCTTGGTCCACAAGCTCCCCATGTAACTTGGATAGTGGGATCACAACATCCAGAGGTCAAGACAGAGACCTGGATGAAATTCAGATGTCTCAGTCTATGAAGGATTAGGCCCTAGGGTAATGAATCCCGCTGACTTCCAGTGAGACTTCAGTGAACTCTGAAGCATTGACATCACTTTTGAAAGTAGTCCCAAATTGCTGCAGGACTTTATAGTTTGAGTGACTTGACCATGGCCATGAAGAAAAGCCTGTAGTACTGCTAGGCATTACCTCAGGTCCTCTAAATCTCTGTGTAGTCCTTTAGATCCTAAAGAGCTCGGTTAATGCCATGCTCCATGCAGGCCTACAGCTCTTTTTCTTAAGGTTAAGGCTTAGCCCACTAACTTCTCTTTAGGAAGCATTATAAGGTAACCAAACAGTAACGTGGAAAAAGATTAAAAGCTCTCATTGTTGTTATGTGGTTTAATTAGTTGTGAAACAGTTGAATAAGAAATCTCATTTTGGCCTGTGACAGACAAAGAACATTGATTACCAAGCAGGTGATCAATGTGCTTTAGAAAGCATTATATGGCAACCAAACAGTAACATGTGGAAAAAGATTAAAACCCCTCATTGTTGTTATGTGATTTAATTAGTTGTGAATCAGTTGAATAGAAATCTCATTTTCGCCTGTGATAGACAAAGAACATTGATTAACAAATATTTACCTGGAGATAGTTGTGTGGGCTCAATGGGAGCAGTAGAGAAACAGATGGAGGCAAAGGATGAGCTAGAAGCCAGTCAGTGCATTACAAGCACAGCAGATAACATCCACAGCCCTGTTCGGTCATGTAACTCCACCACAGAACAATTAGAAATGGAGCTGAAATTAAATATAAGCCAAACATAATGTCATTCAGCAAGTGTGATACAATGTAGTGTAATAGCCTGATATTGTATATTAACCCTGGGAATTAGTAACTAAATGGCTTGTGCTGACAACAAACAAGTGTATGGTCTGGAGGGTTGAGAGAATACACGTTCTTGCTATGCAGAGTCATAATGTGATCCTTTTGCAAGACACTCTGGAGATAAACAGTCCAGGAGAAATGTCACTTTTATCTACATACATTAAGTGCCATTTCCATAAATTACATGCTGTGAAAGATCAATATATGATCTTGTTCATGGCTCATATGTCTTCTGTCACCCCAGAAGTGAAGGGGGGGTGATTTGGGTGCCAGCGCATGCACGGGCTCATCTGGCCAGGCTGATGTCAGCCCTCAGCTCTGCCCCTGCCAAGACTGGCCAGGCTCCAACCTCACCTCTTCCTCTGGGCATTTAACATGCTCTTCTAACCCAATTAGAAAGTCTAAATTCGTGCTTACACTACACTCAGAGGCTGTGCCTGCAATCACTGCAGCTGACACTGTCAGCCACGACCTCTTTCCTCAGCTGTACAAGGGTACCAAGGGCAGATGGAATTCTTACGCTGTTTGGTGTTAAGTTAGGGAAAAAACCCCAATGTCTGGGAAATGTGAGATGCTGCAAGAAACTGTGGTAAGATTATGAATGACACAAACTGTTTGCATGCAGTGATCACAAGAAACTCTACTTCAGTGTTTTTCAGGCTGAGAACTCCTCCTAATTGGAAATAGCCTCTCCCAGGCTTGTCCAGACCCTAATGAGAACTGATGAATCCAACAGGAGCAGGGGGAAATCTCCAAGCCAGCAAGTCCAATCCTCTCCCTTCACATATTCAAACATACCAACCTCTACCTTAAAACAAGGTACACGTTTCCTTCTAGTCCTTAAAACTGAGAGCCCCATTTGTCTGAATAGTTCTTGGCCTCCAGAGAGATGAATAAAGCAGTAACCTGCATGTCAGCAATTTCTGGGCTGTCTACCACTGTGCCTCTCTGCTGTAGCAGCCGTTGTGGAGAGTATGTTAAGCTGTGCCAGAACCAACCCACCTTTCAGATGTGCAGAGATTTCTTCCTTTTTTTGCAAGCCCTAAATCCTCTCCTGACAACCCGGACTCCCTTGGCAAAGTGTTTTAGCATAAGGTCCCCCTCTTGACTCTTGATCTAGCAACACAACTCTTGTTTTACCCCGAACCTTTCTTCCTCCAACCCCCTTAAAAATCCACCAACAAAAAAAGCCAGATGGCACAGAAATGTCAGTGCTAGTTTAATGGCAAATGTGAGAAGTAAAACAGAAGAGGGTAAAGCAAAGAAATCTGTAAGCAGTCCCTCTCCATCCAAAGCAACCCAAGGAAGCAGGTTCTCCAGAGACGTAGTTCTTCTGGAATTGAGCATATGGCAAATAGATTTTCTATTTTAAATTCACAAGTGAACGTTGGAATTTTCAAGCCAAAATCAATACACATTTTTCCTTCTTTCCACCCAGCAGCAGTTTGGGTCTTCTACTGTGTTTCTGAAAGGGCCAGAAGTGAAAAGTGTGGCCTCACTGAAATCAATAGCAAAAATCCTCAAGTTTAACAGAAGCAGGGTTTCAGTTTGACCCTGGCAGACTTACACACAGAGAGCAGCTGCTCAGTTTTGGTGTACTGGAAGCAACAAAATCTATATAAAATGCTGGTGGCATTACAACCACATTCCACAACCCTACACCCTTCACTGGCAAGCACAAGTGACAGGTCACTCTAATTTTAGAGTAAGTTTACTGAATGGACATTCTTGGGATTCAAGAGCAAACTCTTACACACGTCTATCAAACATGCCCCTCTTGCTCCTCCCAAGTTGGATACAACCTGGGATTCCAGCACTTTGTTCCACAGGGAACAATAGCATGTTAATGTGTCACTTCTCATGTACAACCTCCCTACTAACATCCCTCTCTGTCCAGTTATAAGTGTGATCCTCTTTTGTACCAGGTTCCTGTCCTCAGTATTTATCAACACCTTCCTTTCCACACCATAGACAAGTTCAGAGCAGTCCAACTGCTGACTTATCCAATAAACCAGCGAAGTGTGGGGCTCTTCCTCCATCCCAAGAGCCCAGCAGCAAGTCCTCCATACTCCTTTTGCACCAGGCTTTTCCTTTCCATCAGCCTTTTTCCAAGCCAGCTTCCACTGTGAGAATTCTGGGACTGAGCTGCTGGTTCTCCCACCCTAGCAGAGGTTGTGTTTCAGCCTTGGAGAAGGCATCATCCTCTCTGCTGGCTCGAATCTGACAAATTCCCTATTAAAATCCTTATTGATGTATCTGCCCTCAGGACTAGACCACAAGTTATAACACAGTCTGGGCTCCTTTGGGAAGGAAAGCACTTTTTAAATGTAGGATGGTGTTATTAACAATAAGGATTGCCCTGCTGGAGACACCTACCTTCTGTATAGTGTGACATCCTTACGTGTCTCTGCTTGTATCTGCAAAGAATATAATTTTGTTAGTAAATTAGAATAACTCCATGTGTCCTAAGTATTCATTATTTCTTATAGCTTGTTAAAAACAACTTAGATGCTTAAAAATGCACTGAGTAAAACCAGAGCCAGGCTTCCCCTTGGCTCTGTCTATCCTGTGTGCCTTCGATGCAGCCCTCCAGCTCCACCAGCAGTGGAGCAGCACTTAGCTGCAGCCCAGCCTAAGGACAACCAACCTGTGGCCCTTTGTCAGCTGAAATCTCAGTTTTCATTTTTAAGCTGCAGGAAAACAGCTCCTCAAGCAGATCCCAGCCACACATGGGTGTCCCCAGGCCTGCTCTGAAGCAATTACCGAGGAGGACAGTGTCTGAGTGGGAAGGAGGAAGGGTCAGGCTGGTGTATGGAGATGAGGATGTTTTCCAGGTCGGAATGATGGGAGCACAATGAAGAGCTGCTCCACACCCTGTCATCATGCCCAGCCTGGCAAAGTCCTCTCATGTTGCAGGAAGCCAGTCATGTCTTTTACAGCTGCACTGGTAGTTGCTTTCCATTAGGAAGGGGTGAGGATGCCCAGGTCTCACTGGGGCTCACACAGAGCCTTGTTACTAAAGCGCCCATTCTTTTAAAACATGCAAAGCCCATTTCTGAGAGAATTTGAAGGGAAAATCGGCATTTGTTCTGTGATCCCACAGACAGGCTGGGGAGGAAGAGGTAGTAATCCACAGGGAGAGGAAATAACCCAGACCATGACTGAAAGCCACATCTCTCAGTGTCCTACAAAACAGCCACTCTGCTGCCTCTCAGTCCCCCTCAGAGCTGAGCGCCAAGGCACAACCTGAAGCCACGAGCAGTGAAATAATATCCCTGCCATTCTAAAAAGAGAAAGCAGAATGAATTAGCAAGTGTTCCCAGCAATTCCAATCCCAGCCCATGCCTGCCTGGATCTCTGCCTGCTTCTGAACACCCAAGGAAAAAGAAAACAGGTCCAAGCTGTGATGAGGGCTGAAGAGATTCTTAATGATTTTCTGCAGAGGAAAAGAATGAGCTGGTGGAGTGAGACAGGATTATGTTCCTTTGTAAGGTTACAGACATGAAGCACACAGTTCATTGCTAATGGGGTTAATCCTTCTATTGGAGAGGAAAAAAAAATCAGATGGTAGCACCTTTAAACTGGCTCTTGGCAAGTACTCAATTATTGCAAGAGACCAATTAAATAAAGTCGGGTCAGAGTGTCTCAGATCGGGGAGAAGGAGTTCTCAACCTCGCCTGGCTCATCAGAAAGATGTCGGGGGTTAGGAGTCTGCTGTGAGTGAGGTTCAAGTCAATAAACTCCTTGTAATTAGCTTCATGTAGTGTTTGTTTTCCTTGAAATACATACAATTAAGTGAAGAAAAAGAAAAGTGTGAAGAGAAAAAAAAACATCCCATGAAAGCAGAAATAAGGCAGGCGGGAGGTGGGCATGTTACTGCACTCTCATGCAGTGGGGCTCCCAGGCTCATTCATGGTGCTGCTCTCCTTGGGGCAGACCTCACCAAAGGACAGTCAATGCTGCAGTTACCTGGAGATGAAACTCAAGCTCTGTCCAAAGCTCTCTCCATCACCTGAGCACTATTTAAACCCCTGTGTTGGGGATTTACAAATGCTTTAATAGCGATCTTTAGATTTGCTGTCTGTACTGGGGAATGCAATTGAGTCTTCCCTATGAGACACACTTAAAGCTGCCTGTTTTTAAAGACTCACTAAAACCCTTAAACGCTTGAGATAAAAAAGTGCCTAAGTGGGATTCTCATTACACTGAGACACATGCACAACTGCCTCATTGTCTTCAGAGGGATTTAATTGCTGCCTATGGAATACAGCACCTGGGTCACTGCTCATCATCTGGACAGAGATAACTTGGCTGTGACCAGAATGTGCATGAGTTTTGCTCCAAAGCAGGCCAAGGATGGACAACTGGCCAATGGCCACAGTGACTTGTGCATTAACACAGTCAGGATCTGTCTCATTCTTAACCACTTCAGTGGTTGCAAAGACGTAACAAAGAGACGATGACAAATCTCAAGCCTTTTGAGAACTGCTCTTAGAGACCTGAAACTACAGGTCACAAATTGATTTGGGTTTTATTCTCTAATAGCTCAGAAAGATTTCTCCTGCATTGGCTTGACAAAAGCCTCTTCATCATGCCAGTTGGATCAATTGAATCCTGCTGGTAATGCTGCACTCTTTGTTACTTTCTCTACTCTTTACACCTCCATGTAAAGAAAATGTGAAATAGGATCCTCTCGAGATACTGGGGAGAAAAGTAAGATATTCAGTATTAACATGCTTAGACATTATCTCAGCAGCTCAGTGGGGATTCTTTTCACCTGATTCTTAATTTAGTACTTTAATACTTCTCCAGATGAGGCTACACAATTAATAAATCCTCTGTGTTACAGAGAATTCTACTGTGCAGAAAGAATATCATATTAAAACAATCTTCTATTTTTAATAAACACCACCCTCCAACAGAAGAACATTACTCACATAACCTGTGTATGATTGTTAAATGTCTGCTGCCTTTTCAAAGGCAGTTGGAGTCATTATCTATGCAAGCCTGAGTATAGGGCAAAAGCAGGTAGTAAAGGAGTTTGGCTTTCAGAACAAGGAGCATGCATCTGAATTAAAAGAGCAACAGAGCAACAACAAAAGAAACACAGGCAGTATTTCATAATGAAACCATTACTGACATTTAGGGGAAACTGAGGCTCACTTATGCAGAAAGCCAGTGGCCACGTTCACATAGATGCAGTGTTTTCACTCCCCAGGCAAATACCAGATCCTTCATGTTTTACTCCATCATGAAAGGACTACGCTTAGGATGGGAAGGTTTTATTTCAGACTGGTTGTGGTGCACTCAGTGAGACTATCATTGTTTCTAGTAACATATCTGTGA